AGTTTGAAAATTGAACAAGTGGCAGATTGCAATTGGATGATCGGCAGGTGGTCGTAAAATTTTGGCAGGCCACTGTAATTTGACGCATCGATCACGTGAGCGCAAAATTATGCTTTAAACGTCTTGGCATTGATATTACTATTACGAGCTAGTCAAACCTTTTTTTTAAGGTATACTTACTTATGCTTGCATGTTATTAACTTGCCAATAGAAAATTAAAATTTGCGTTTCCTACAACCTAATCTGGCAAATCCGAATGTATATATATTAATATGGCGCCCCAAATGTGCGGGGAAATATCACAAATTCAAACGATAGTTAAAAATGTGGATGTCGATTGCTAAATTAAAATGCGTTACAGTGAACTTTGCCTATATCCACCACATCTTGATACATATGAAAATTTGAAAACATGGCGATTATAGAGGTGACTGTAGAAAGGGAAATTCTTATGTCATTTATGTCAACTTGGGTGTTACTTGGGTGTGACTATAGATCGAGTTTTATATGACGAGACTATAAACGAAGAAATTACAAACAGCAGTTTATTGAGCGCATTTGGCTGTGGAAATATCCATGAATAATTCTGCATGCCTTTACAATCAACGTGCGTTAAACACAGAACATTTTAATAATCAAGTTAACCAATAAATATAATAAATAATTAAATCAAATTTTATTTCATGCCGTGTCAATGATGTGGTTTTCCAAATCTAATTTGTATCGGCTGGCCTTTTAAACCAAGTTGTTGTTATTGCGCGACTGTAGCTTGCTATGGAAAAAGCAGTCAAATGTTCGTGTTCTCGCTTCAAATCCCTAGCAGGAAGGGATTTGCATAAAAATTGTGTAACCCATGTTGTCCCCACACTTTCCGTCGCTCCTTTGCCACTTCTTGAAACCGTTTCGGATTGGATGATGCATGCACGTTTAGTTAAATTTGCACGATTATGGGCAATTTACCCGGACTCATATGATGTTCGTTGTTGAAAAAGGAAACATGATGCATATGTGCCAAAGTTGGCTAACGGGTTTTAGAGAAAAAACTTAGAATGATCGAAAAGACTTTTCGTTAATATTCAAAAGGATCATTCAATCATTCATCGCAGATTTACGTTCACATCCCAAGCCATAACCAGATTTGTAAATGATATTGACCGTTCCACCATCTAAAAATCCCTCAGACGCCGATATTTCACATGTCTTGACTATGTCAATTAGGTTAATTTGCATCTGAAATTCCAACATGTTTTTCGAATTCAGAAAGAGATATTTATGGCGTCGGAAAGCCTCAAGTTCATAATACCTTATCGAATCTTTCACCTCTCTTACAAAGTCTGTCGCTTACCGTTAGAATAAAAGCCCAAATATTAACAATTGTTCGGTAAAACGTTTTACCTACAATTTGTTTTTATCATCTAACATTCCGTTCGGCGGCATTATATCATGGGCACCATTATATCGGAGGACAATATTGCAAAGGTATGCGATTCTACCATTCTACAAGATGCCTACGAACGTATTTGTGAGAAGGACTTCGGGTGAGCAATTTTTATTTGTTTCGTCATTCTGCATTCGTTGTTGTGGGCATCAAACCTAATTATTATTTCATTGTTATTTTAGTTACTATTATGGGTTCTCAAATACAACGCGAAACAATACACACGTCTGATGTTTTTGTTCTTGTTTAGGATTTTGAGCGGATATCGTCTTCAAATGTCGTGAGCAAACTGTGCGATGGAAGTAAGTCTAATTATAATATCTCTTATCTTTCGATCGATAATAATTACAATGATAATTAACCAATGTTTTTCATATAGATTACTCCAAAGATAACATAGCTTATAATACAGACACGGATACAAACAAATTGAAGAATCAATTAGTAAAATTATTGGAAAAAATAGCAAACACGAATGAGGCACATCACTTTGCAGAACTACACAATTTGATATCAATAATAGAGACAAAGCTTGATAAGGATGAATTATTACTAATTCTAGGGGTAGTAGGAAGCGATACAATTTCGTACGATATTCACAAAAGCACTACTAGTATGGAACTGGAGCTACATCTGAGAACGTACATTCTGGTCTTGGAAGCGTATAACAAAAGACAACCAGTAATCAGAAAGCAGTTGTGTCAAACATTGTATAAGAGTCTTGCGGCGCTATACGACACACATAAACGTCACACGGAACTTTTGAAAAGGGGGTTGATTAATGCTAAATCGCTTCAAGGTCAGCATAAAGTTAAACCGGTGAAGTATGGTCCATACAGCATTCTTGAAAAAGGTATCAAAATTCAGAACTACAACATTGACTTTTTGCTATTACATTTACACGACTCGTTTCATGCAATGGGCGGTGATGGACCGCGAGTTGTGGAGCAATTGAACGCGAGTTTCGTCGCAATAAATAGACTCTTTGCTGAAATTGACATCACAATTGATGAACAAAATGCTGTCGAGGTGTATAATTATGTGCACGAAGCTCTGAAGTTTAAATTCCCGGCCAACTATTGGTTTAAAGACTGGACATACTTGTATGGTACATACGTGGCATTCATCGAATGGTCGTCTATTCCCATTAATCGAGATTTGATTATGAAGGGTGAATTGATGATCGTTAAAAGTTTGTGGAAATTCGGATATCAAGAATTGAGCAAAAAAATGGCAAAGTCCGAATCCAAGGAAGATGACTTGACATCTGGATTAGCAAGCTTTTCGAATAATTTATCTGGATATCAACCTATATCATACCCTTGTTTGCTGCTGTATGGAATTTTGGATATTGCTCAGAATCTGGCAATCCGCACAAATCAAGAAAATACATTATCGCATTGCTACTACCTTGCAAAATTGTCTCTTAATTTTGAGTCGACGGAATACATTCGCTACAAGGCTACTGAAGTTCTTTGGACCGTCTTTAAAAAGAGCCCTATTACCTTTTCGATAGTCGAGCTTGATTTTGAGCGATATGAAGAAACGTTGGGTGAATCAGACAAGGAGCGGTTCACCGATATTAGAACCTATCTCGGCGTAAAACATATATATGAATACAACTCTATCAACAGAAGGGGGCTTATAAGTTCAGATACAAAGCGCCAGAGGAAAGTATCATTCAAGACTTCAGAGAATCTACTTAACGCGGATCCACATGACTTGTCGATCTTGACTATGGTTGCCGAGTATCTAACTTGTCCTTTGACACAAGAAGCGACAGGTGACCTTAGAATATCGCCATGCAACCACAAAGTTAGCTCTTTATTGCTGGACCAATTCCTTAATTCAGACCACCCAGAAACCAAATGTCTACACTGTGATGGAGCGACTAAAATTGAAAACATTAAAAACTTGCCTGCCTCAGTGATCTACAAGCTGTTGCATTCCAAGTTTATAAGAACTCGACAATCTGGCGCATTGATCGGGAATGTAGCAGAAATTGCAAACAACGATAATCATGATAGTGACAATAACTATGAAGATGAAAGTAATATTAAGGATAACGATGCCAAAGAGTCTTTTCGCGCGAAACTAAATAGCATGTCTTCATCGAGATCGACTCAGAAAAAACTTACCTCTCAACAAAAGAAAGCATTGAAAGTTTATAAGGCAGCGTATAAGCAGGGTAAACAAGCATTCGACGAAGGAAGATATGAGGACGCAATACCGTGGTTAGAGAGAGCATCTAAATATTTTTCTAATAGCTCAACCATTCAGTGTGATCTTGGTATTGCATACATGAAGATTACAAACAATCGGAAAGGTTTACGGAATTTAAAACAGGTTATTCGGAAAAATCCTAAAAGCGTGAGGGCTTGGGCTTGGTGTGGAGAATTTTATAGGTCAAACAAACAGTATAAAAAGTCTCTTAAGGCTCTTGATCAAGCGTTGGACGTCAAACCAAACGATACGTTTGCGCTTTGTATAAGAGGGGCAGTTTATTTTGAGCTTAACCGATATGACGATGCATTAAAAGACCTCGATCTGGCAATAGGGATTGACCCAAATCAAAAATTTGCATTAAAGACAAGAGGATATGTCAACGCGATGCTTAATCAATACAACGATGCAGTAAGCGATTTTAGTAGATTACTAGAGATTAAACCAACGGATACGTTTGCATTGAAAACGAGAGGAAAGGTCTGTTTCGCTCTTAAAGAATATCAGAATGCTTTGCACGACTTCAATGAGTTTCTGAAAATTGAAGAAAACGATGCAGAGATACTGAACATGAGGGGCATGACTTCTTACATGCTTGACCAACATGAAAATGCATTGAATGATTTTAATAAATCGTTGGAAATAAATTCCAATGATAACTTGACTTTGAACAAAAGAGGCCATATCTATTGCAAGCTGAGACAATACGACGATGCGTTTATAGACTTTGATAATTCGCTCATCACGAAACCGCATAATGCATTTGCGTTGAGAGGAAGAGGATATCTATATGCCATGTCTGGACAATATGAACCTGCAATAAATGATCTCATCGAGTCATTGGAAATTGAAGAGAATGATGCATTTGCATGGACAGTAAAAGGAGGCAGCCATTTCGTGCTTAAACAGTTTGATCGAGCGTTATATGATCTCAATCAAGCGTTAGAAATCGATCCAAATGATGCTTTTGCGTTGAGAATAAGGGGAAACATCTATCGCGTAATTAAACAATACGAAGATGCCTTAAAGGATCTCGATCAATCACTAGCGGCTGAACCGGATAACGCGTTTGCATTGAGAGTAAGAGGAGCAATCTATTGCAAGCTTAAACAATATAACAAGGCATTAGAGGACCTCAATCAATCATTGAAGATGGAACCGAATAACGCATTTGCTTTGAGGGTGAGAGGAAATACTTATTCATTGCTTAAACAATATAGGAATGCATCAAAGGATCTCAACAAGTCACTAGAGATAGTACCGAATAACGCGTTTGCGTTGAACAAAAGGGGAGCACTCTATTACATGCTTGGACAATATAATAGCGCGTTAACGGATCTCAACAAATCATTAATGATTGAACCAAATAATGCGTTCACGTTGAGAGCAAGAGGAAACACCCATATCATGCTCGAACAATATGACGAAGCAATAAAGGATCTCAACAAATCACTGTCACTTGAACCTAATAACACATTTGCCTTGAATGCAAGAGAAAGTGCTTATAATTTGCTCAAAAAGGGAGGTCTCGATAAAGCACCAGTTCGTCAAAAAACCAAAAAAGCGAAAGGAGTAAATCATCCCAAGCGCAAACGACATGACTCTGAATTACAAAAAATTGAACGTCTTAATCGTAATTACATTTAATTATTAATAATAATTGTTTAGTCTTAGCAGAATTAATTGGGGGAAAGGTGTCTTTTTATTTTTAATTGATAACTGATTAGTTTTTTGAAAAAGAGTTGCCTTTTACATATTATATATACGTTTAATATACTTTTTAATCAACATATTGAGCTTATGTAATGTTTTCATATTTGTATTTCAAAAAATACGGTGCCTATGTGCCGAGGTTCTACCACAAATTAAATTCGGTGTACTACCACTATTTAACGCGGCAAGCGAAAGCCAACCGTCTAATCTGGGCGCATTACAATTGAAATTTTTCTGACAAATTACGATCCAAGCGTTTTGCGATACAACCCGTGCATGGTCACGCGAAATAAACGCCCTTTAAAGCTCACATTTGAGCTGTGATTAAAATCAGGATGCGCGTATTCACAGAGAATTTGAATCATTTGTATAATAATGCCGATAACTTGCTGAATCACAACTGAGTACTTCAGCAGGATAATGACCCAAAACATACATCTCTTGACGCTCGGGGCAGCTTGGCATCTCGTAACATGTTCATCCCTGGCTTTCATATAGTCCAAATCTCACTCGATTGAGAATGTCTGGGCTGTTCTGAAGCATAATATTGAAAAAAAATAGTAGTATGAAAAACTTGTATCGATGCTGAAGGAGGCCATACTAAATTAATAAATTTTGTAGTTCTAATATTTGGCTTTCATCAGAATTTTCTATTCGGTTTATATTTCAAACTGAGCTCATTACATCCCAAAAACTGACGTCATTATTTTTGCCGAAGGTAACATAAGGCGCGACCGTGCAAACACCAATCTCTGGATAAAGTATCGGCTAAGATGAACGCGCTGAGCGCATAAGCAATCTACTACTTGAAGAAGACGATACCAATTACGGGAACACTTTCCCAATTTAAAAAAATCATTCAGATTGAATATGATTTCCGACTTAAGTTCTACAGGCAAATTATGGGTACTTCTCTGACATAGTCTTTTTAGACACCAGCATCTGGCGGGCTAGTCATTGATTAATAACTGAAGTTCTTGGATATTCTGCTGTTTCTCTTCCAGCAAGCGGGCTAATACTCTTTTATCTTCTTCAAGTCTCAACGTAGCAAGCTGCACTTCCATCTTATGACTAAACTCGATATTGTCACCAAATGTGACCTTTTGTCTCGTTCTCCCAGTGAGAGTGTCCGCCCGTCCGTCCGTGCTAAATTTTCTGGTATTATGAAATCGCACTCACCTATCTGATCCGCTATATGTTGTTCTGTATGAAAAACAACGTCAATAAAAAGTTCGGCCGACAGCTGGAATCCAAGTTGTCGTAAATCGGTTAGCGTTTGCACCACACGGTTTAAAGTAGGTTCGAGGCATATTTATATTTAATCCTACGCGGTGAAAGCTGAACAAGCACGGTTCCTGATTAGGGAAATGGGATTCGTAAAATTTGTCCTGATATGGATATCCAAATAGTACATTTCATTCGTCAACATCAATCACAGATCACGTTACTGCACGATCTGACTGGTACACTAGGGTAGTTTTCCACTTTGGCGTCCTCTGGGTGAAGTGAAATTAATCGAAATGATGTGGAGGTGTGCCCTCTGTTGATATGCCGCATTTTAGCGGCGACAACTGTAAATCATCAAGTAAACCGATAATTTGTTTATTTATGTGGAATTACAATGGGGGTATGACAACAGTTGGAAAGAGAATTCCGCCCCAATCAATGTGTGTATCGCAGTAATAGACTTAAATGTGCGTGCAAAGTTCCATACTAATACCATCATTTAATATATTTCTATCCTTGGCATCATTGTTCAATACGTTTTACATATTTCTTTCCTTCACTCCCTCCTCCGGTTAGAGCAACATACATGGAACTCCCAGATGTAGGCCGCCAGTGCGCCGATCCCTCCTGCCGCCAATTGGATTACTTGCCTACAAAATGCACGTATTGCAAGAAACACTATTGTCACGAGCATTCGAAGCCGGAAGCCCACAAGTGTCCAGATGCACCGAAAGGTGATGGCGCGAGAGTGCCTACATGCCCAAAATGTGGTGCGCCGATACCGGTACCCAAGGGAGAGAATCCTAATATTAGGGTT